ATCAAAGCTTTTTTTACTCTAAATTATTTATCTAGAAAATAGACTTACATATCATTCGAAATTCTCAGGACACCTTTCTTTATTGTCAATGTTTTATTTTTCAGATTAGAAATTTCTTTTCAATATATTACAGTTCAAAGTATTTGATGTCGTTTCTATTAAGAAGAAAGTACATACTTACGATCATTTGTAAATATTCACAAAAAACTTCGAAACCGGAAGACAAAAAATACAAATTGAATTTTTTTCTTAAACACAAAAATCTGATAAAAATCAAAAAAGGCTCATATTTGTGAATAATATTAAAATAAAATCGTCAACTGATTATTTCCTATTTCATCCTATAAAATATTACATTTACCTAAATTATAATAAAGTTTAATGATGATGGTAAACTACCAAAAAAAAATTCAACTACCTTTTTTTTTTCAAATTTAATTACAATTAATTTGCTACAAAAATAATATTTTCGACATGATAATAAAGAAAAAAAAAACATTTCCGAAAATAAAATCAAAGATTGATTTCGTAGTTCAATTTCGAGAATGAATCTCATTTATTATGAACCGGGTGGAGTGAAATATGAATGATTGGAAAATAGACAAAGGATAGATAGATCGATGGATCGACCGATAGAAAGATTGATGGATTGGATCGATATGAAGTGAAGCACACACACACACACACACACACACACACACACACACACACACACAGACAGATAAGTACACGACAAGACGGACAGACAGACAGACAAATGAATGAATCGGTAATGCTGCAGAACAGAACGCAGTAAGCGTTTCACGGTCGAAAATGCATTTAACAGGCCATTGTACGGTTCGTGAAATGACAGTTCATGAAAAAGAATGTTTCTCGACAGAATGATTATTTTCCGCCAGCGTTATGGACAGTTTCTTTTTATATTGCTTTGTGAGGTATTTTGATTCTTTGAAATTCTTTAATTTTACAAATTTATCACAAAAGAATTTCACTACAAAAAATTTTTAGGATAGGATGGTTTTGAGGAATTTTTAGCTTTCAGAAAATTAGTTTGGTTT